AGCTGACACTCCAGAGCTGACAAAACCATGGACAAAACAGTACCTATTTCTCCAGCTCTACCTTCACCGATAGTATCAGTTTCGACGGCTGTCACAGTAAACACGACCTGCCTCGGGGTTTCACCATTCTTTGTAGCTACATCGCCTGATAGAGTTGCTTCCTCTATTGAATCAACGACGAAGGCTAGTGCAACAAACGGTTTGACGAATTCCGTCGAATTTTCTAAAGTTACAGGTCGAGTAACTCCACGGATTGCAGCAGGGTTAAGAGCTTTCACAGCGAACGATTCCACGGGTTCCGCAGATGATTCGCCAATCAACACAGCTGCTTCAACGGACCGAGTAGCATCCTTGGTTGCATCAGCATTACAAATTTCAACTGATCGCATCGAAGATTTACCAGTTCTGATAGTTGCATCGGCTGATCGAGTAGCATCATAGAGGTAACTCTAAGACCACTGGGTCCCGAAGAAAATCATTATTATTTTTCACTCAGTACCAGAACAACGGTCCCAAGCAGTCCCAAGCTATTTCACTCACCCCTGCATGTTCTGCATGAATCCACACACCCCTGATGTTATCTGTCAAACTTTCATAGCGAATCAAAACAAACATAGTGTAGTAATAGAATTTCAACTAGAATAGGGTACGTTAATCGTTTGCTTGGGACCAATAGGCTACTAAAGTGGTGAGCCAATTTAAAATCGTTAGTTTCGTATTGATTGTTGGTAGCATCCCCGATTGCGACAAAAGCTAATGCAACGACGGTTTTGAAGGATTGCGTTGAACTTTCCCCAGTTCCAGCAGATAATATATATCGGCCGATCCAGTACCCACACCGACGTTGTATACGAAGCAAAAAAAGAGAGAAGACAATGTTATTAGTTGGCTTAGAAGACAAAGATGGTCCACCATTAAGTTTACATGATGTCAATAATCAAATTGTATTTAGAAATAAGAACACATTTGTCGAATAGAATTATAAACATTTGTCAAGGAGATAAAATAAAATTAAGAATGTAATAATTATTTTATCATGTAAATAAACAATCAGGCCTATTCTAGTAAGGTGAGGTAACTAGTGAAGTGACAATGGTCACCTCGTGGTGACGTAACTCTACAGGCAAATCAAATCGAGTATCACGTCACCACGAGGTGATCATTGTCACTTCACAAGTTACCTCACCTCATTTGCCACGCAGAATAGGCCAGAATATGGAAACTATAATAATTAAACATTTAAAACTATATTTTTCATGCATTTCCGGCATGAATTTCATACGAAATGTCATACGAAATTGTTTGAAATATCTAATGATACCTACCGTTTGTTTATATTGAAATTCATAGTTATATGTATGGAAATCATACGACAGCTGATTGAAACAAATCGTAAATTTTTCATAGTTCGGTCGTATGAAATTCAACATAAAATCTTGTCGCAAAAAAATCATACAACATTTCTATGAAATTTGCTTGATTAATAATCTCAGTGTATAACACCTAGCTAGGTTATCAGCAAAGTTAGAACGAACGGGTGTGGATTTTCTCGTCGTTGCTCTACTCACCGCTTTCAAGCAAAGTAACGTCAATTTTCACCATGGAATTTCAATGAATCAGTACTTTCCAAAGCGATTCAGTACTTGCTTAAGTGATTTCAAGCTTTCCGCAATGATTCAGTACTTTCCGAGGAGTTTCCGAACTTTTCTGAAGTTATTCAGTACTTTGTGAAGTAACTCCAAAATTTTCGAAATCGATTCAGACTTTTTCTAAGTGATTTAGTACTTGCGAACTTTTTTGGAATGATGCAGTACTTTCCGATGTGAATCCAGAATGGTTTAGTACTTTCCAAAGTAACTCTAAGTTCTTATGAAGTGATTCAGTAAATTTTGAAGTGATTATTAACTCTTTTGAATCACTTTCAGTACTCTCCTAAGTGATTCCAAATATTTCAAAAGTGATTTAGAAATTTCTGAAGTGATTCCAATCTGAATCGACTCAATACCTTCAGAAGTGATTTGGATCATTTATAAAGTGATACAATACATTTCTGAGTGATTGAGTACTTTGTTAAGTGATTCAAATAACTTCTGAAATGTTTCCGTACTTCTCGAAGTGATTGAAAATATTTCTGGACAGATTATGTACTTTCCGAAGTGCGTCCAATCTTTTCCATAGTAATTCAATACTTCTGAAGTGATTTCAAACTTTGTAAAAGTGATTCAGTACTTTCCAAAGTAATTGCGGAAGTGATTACAAATTTTTAACAATGATTCAGTACTTTCCGATGTGTTTGCGAAGTTTTCTGTAGAGATTCCGAACTTTTCTGAAGGTATTCAGTACTTTGTGAAGTGACTCCAAACTTTTTGAAAATGATTCAGTTTTGTTAGAAGTGAATTAGTACTTGCGGAAGAGTCAACAAACTTTTCTGGAATTATTCAGTACTTTCCGAGGTGTTTGCGAAGTTTTCTGAAGAGATTCCGATCTTTTATGAAGGTAATGAGTACTTTGTGTAGTGACTCAAAACTTTTCGAAAATGATTCAGTTTTGTTATAAGTGATTTAGTAATTGTGGACGAGATAAAAAGCTTTTCTGGAATTATTCAGTACTTTCTGAAGTGAATCCATAATGTTTCAGCACTATCCAAAGTAAATCTAAGTTCTTCTGAAGTGATTCAGTAAATTTTGAAGTGATTAATAACTCTTTCAAAGTGATTCAGTTCTCTCCTAAGTGACTCCAAACATTTCTAAAGTGATTCATAAATTTCTGAAGTGATTCCAAACTGAATCGATTCAATACCTTCAGAAGTGATTTTGATCATTTATAAAGTGATACAATGCATTCCAAAGTGTTTGAGTACTTTCTGAAGTGATTCAAATAACTTCTAAAGTGTTTCAGTACTTTTCGAAGTGATAAAAAACATTTCTGAACAGATTATGTACTTTTCGAACTGCTTCCTAACTTTTCCGAAGTAATGCAATCCTTCTGAAGTGATTTAAAACTTTGTAAAAGTGATTCAGTACTTTCCAAAATTATTCAGTACTGTCCAATGTGTTTCAGAATTTTTTTGAAGATGTTTCGAACTTTTCTGAAGTTATTCAGTATTTTGTGACATGTCTCCAAACTTTTAGAAATTGATTCTTTCTGAAGTGATTTAAATTTTGAAAAAGGTGGTTTGGTACTTTCTAAAGTGACTTTCCGCAATGATTCAGTACTTTCTGAGGTATATGCGAAGTTTTCTGAAGAGATTCCGAACTTTTCTGAAGGTTTTCAGTACTTTGTGTAGTGACTCCAAACTTTTTGAATATGATTCAAGTTTTGTTAGAAGTGATTTAGTACTTGCGGAAGAGATAACAAACTTTTTTGGAATGATACAGTACTTGCTGATGTGAATCCAGAATGTTTCAGTACTTTTCAAAGTAATTCTTAATTCGTATGAAGTGCTGAAGTGATTAATAACGCTTCAAAAGTGATTCAGTACTCTCCTAAGTGACTCCAAACATTCTGAAGTGTTTCCAAACTGAATCGATTCTTCACAATTAAAATTCGGTGTTTTTTTGCATATCAACCGGATTCATTCTTCGCATCATCATTCGTTTTGTTTGCTTGCGCATTGGGATAAAAATAAGCGCTCTTCTTAAAATCTTATACAATATCGCAGACACATACGTTTTTCGTTTGTTTAATTCACTTTACACAAGTTTTTTATTTTTTAATACTTACTGAAATATATAGTTTTTGCCGCTTTGATAGCGTTTTGCTGCTGTTGTCTGTGTGTTTATAGCTAGGATGTTTGTTGTCATGAGTTTTGCTTGAATGTGTGGGTGCTTAGGTAAAAAAAATATAAATATATAATTTTTGCTTCGTATAAAAATAATAATAATAAACTAACATTTTAGATTAATGACAGTCGAGGATGGTTGCAGGCTTGGCTGTTCGTTTGCTGCTGTTCATTTTCACTAATCTAACGTTTTACGCGCACATTCCGCTAACTAATCTTGTGGGAGGCTTGCTCCGGTGATAGCCGTATGTGTGTTCGTGTGAAAAGCCGGACCGCTCTTTTGCGAGGATCAACGTCGCGGATGGATCTTCCCGGATGATGGTTTTTGGTCACAAAAGCAGTCACTTTTTCGTGAGCGTGGAAAGATCCACTGCATGATTGGCTCCAAGGATGCCAAGGCACTCCAGCCGGGCGCGCGTCGGGGATCCCCCATAATCAAGAAGCCCAGAACCACAAGGGGTTCACACCAGAGCAGTGGCACTCCGCGTCGTCTGAGAGAAGAAGCTGCAACACGTTCTAGCTCAAAAATAATATTATTTAAGATTTACCTCTAATTTAAATAGTAAATAATACTTAAATTACGAATCTTTAAATAAAAGATAGTTTACTACAAAGTATATCTACTCTACAATGATCGATGTACAATAGGGATATTTTATGAAAATATAAAATAGAGGGCGTTACAAGGGGAGGGGAAGGGTTGGTTGCAACAAGGGTTCTAGTGCCTGTCTGAAAATTGCGGGTAGTTCTTTGGAGCTTGCGATGTGATGCGCTGAACACTCAGATCGCGAAATTTTGGTCGAATTCCAAAAGTTTGGCCTGAAAGTGTTTTGTCCACCCCGGCCCCGAAAGACCAGGGTTGATCTCCTGCTTCATTGGTGCCGTCCATATTCTCCGGAAAATATGAACGAGAGCTGCCTCAAGGTTGTTGGGGTGTTGATCTGTTGCGTCACGGGTGGGGTTCGGGAGTTGGATTAAAGGGGTATTGCTCCATTGTGGCTTCCCAGGATGGGTCCATTAGAGAGAGTGGTGTGAGAATACTGTTCTTGACCTGTTGCAGGTTTTGGCTGTTGATCGTGTGTAGTAGTTAAAACAAAAACCTTCTGGAATGTCCTGTCGTTCGTCATTTGCTTCGTTGGGGTTTTGGTCTCGAGTGCCAGGGGACGGGACGAGTTTCGAAGACTGACGCCACCCGATGGTTCTCTGATGATGTCATTTGATGAACGACTGGGGATTCACAGCATAGTTTTTTAGTGCAGCTGTCTTTAGCAGAACGGTTGTCGCAGCTTGGCGATCGCATTCGTCAGATGCCGGATTTCGGTGTTGAGCTGTGACACGAGGGTTTCGAGCTTGTCGACGGAGTCGAGCACTTCAACGCGCTCGGTGTGTGGGCTTAAGCGGACCTCGAACGGCCGGGACATGGTCGAGACCCAGCGGCGGAACTTCTCCATGGCATCCTCGAAGCTCTCGGCGACGTAGTAGATTGTCTGGTATTCTTGGTCCTGGTAGGACTGGACAGCGGTGCTTGTCGGATCGAATGCGCGGTGCACTGGCTTCTCACTGATGGCATGCAGCAGTTCTCCGTAAGCCGACAGCAGACTGGCACCGTAGGCCTTGATTTCGTTGTTCTCCTTGCACAGACCGAACTCTACGGTGAACCAGTAGACCGTAGATAGCTTCTCGATTTCCTCATCCGACGCATCCAGCGAGGCAAGACCAATCTCCCGGGAGAACTGAGCGAAGCTCGGATCGACCAGCAGTGGCATATGGCCCAGCAGTTCGTGGATGCAGTCGGGTTCTGGTGTGTGGTATGGCGAGTTGATGTGTCGGACGTACTGGGTGCTCTGGAAGATGCGGAACGCCAACGAAGCGAGGAAGTCCCAGGCGGCCAGCAGACCAGCAGCCGGACGCAGTGTGAAGCCGGTGTTCATGCGGAGGAAGTCGCTCATCTCCTGCAGTTGTGGAATGCGTTCCACGACGAAGATCTTCTCTTCCTCGAGCTTTTTGAACACGGTCACGTACTCGGAGCAGGCGTGCTTGGTCATGAGTTCCTTGACGCGGATGAACACGGCCGACCAGGTCTTGTTCTCGGTTTCGGTGTAGTTGATGTGTGGGATTGGGTCTCCGTACTTGTATCCGAAAGCGATTTCGGCAATCTCCTTCCTACGGGCACGGTATACCTGATCAGCGAAACCGGGGTGGTTCATGTCGAGATCTGGTTCGTACTTGGTCATCAGGTGGTTGCAGTTGTCCAGCTCGGAGGCATGGCTCGGGAACCACGGGGCCTTGACGTTGACGTTGTTCTCGGCCAGCAGGCTAACGCTGCCGAACGAGGCGGTTTGACGCAGCGAACGGATCAACTGCAGCAGATTGGACCGGGCCATGTCGACCTTGATGAGGACGTCGAACATGACTCCGACAGTTCCGTGGTAGATCTCAACGGCCTTCAGGATACGTCCCAGAGAGCCCATGCCACCACGTAGGTGAACCACCACGGCGGCACGGACCAACTCCTTCTCGGCCTCGGGTGATTCGGAAGCGGCGTTCTGCAGAACGACTTCCTCCTCCGTTACGCCAGCGTCGTTAATTTCATCCTGATTGTCGTTGGACTCGGTCTCTTCCGATTTGTATGGAAGATCGTCAGCTTGTGGCTGCTGTTCTTCGGCCTGGGCGACGGTATCTTCCAAGCTGGGATCTTCGTTGGCCTTAGTGCGGGCCTCGTCCAAAACCGTTGGCTTGGTTTGCTTAACCACAATAGTCTCAAAGCGGGCGTCATCAACTAGGGAACGGCGACGCGATGGGTAACCATTCACGCGGCAGAATTCCTCCAGCAGGCACTTCATGGCTTTCGGTGGCGAGTTGCGCATCTCAATGGCCAGATCGAGAGCCTTCATGAACTTGTTGTACAAAGGGTGGGTTTCCTTCTGGTTCTGAACAAATTACTAGCGGACAAAATCACACAGAAAGCAAGTGCTTCTGAACGCGGAAACAGTTTGGACAAAGACCAATCAAAGGCAGTACACACAAGAACCAGCTGGAAGCTACACACGAACGACACTTCAACCAAAAAACTACGTCTGTACTTTTTGATGAACTGCGATAAAGGCAAGATTCAAGACCTTTAGAAGTGATTTCGATCATTTATTAATTAATACAATACATTCCGAAGTGATTAGAATTATTTCTTAAGTGATTCAGTAACATTTCTGAACAGATTTTGTACTTTTCGAATGCTTTCTAACTTTCCCGAAGTAATACAGTACTTCTCAAGTAATTTAAAACTTTTTTAAATGATTCAGTACTTCCCAAAGTGATTCAGTACTTGCGGAAGTGATTACAAACTTTCCGCACTGATTCAGTACTTTCCGAGGTGTTTCCGAATTTTTCTGAAGTGATTTCGAACTTTTCTGACGTTATTAAGTACTTGGTGAAGTATCTCCAAACTTTTTGAAACGGATTCAGTTCTTTTCGAAGTGACTTAGTACATGCGGAAGAGATAAGCAAGTTTTATGGAATGATTCACTACTTTTCCAAGTGAATCCAGAATGGTTCATTAATTTCCAAAGCAATTCTAAGCTCTTCTGAAGTGATTCAATAAATTCGGAAGTGATTAATAACTCTTTCAAAGTGATTCAGTAAAACCTGAAGTAATCCCATACTCTTCTAAATTGATTCAGAGCTCTCCTAAGTGCGGAAGTGATAACAAACTTTTTGGAATGCTTCAGACATTTCGAAGTGAATCCAACATTTTCTGAAGTATTTCAGTAATTTCAAAGTAATTCTAAGCTTTTCTGTTTCAGATTCAGAAAACCTTGAAATAGTATTTAACTTTTCCATAGTAATTCAGTACTTTTCATAGTGATTCCAAACATTTCTAAAGTGATTAAGAACTTTCTGAAGTGATTACAAACTGAATCGATTCAAGCCCTTCAGAAGTGCTTTATATCATTTATAAAGTGATACAATGCATTCCAAAGTGATTGACTACTTTCTGAAGTGATTCAAATATTTTCTAAAGTGTTTAAGTATTTCTCGAAGTGATTGAAAACATTTCTGAACAGATTATGTACTTTCCGAAGTGCGTCCAAACTTTCCGAAGTAATTCAGTACTTTCTGAAAAAGATGGTTCGGTACTTTCTAAAGTAACTTTCCGCAATGATTCAGTACTTTCCGAGGTATATGCGAAGTTTTCTGAAGAGATTCCGAACTTTTCTGAAGGTTTTCAGTACTTTGTGTAGTGACACCAAACTTTTTGAAAATGATTCAGTTTTGTTAGAAGTGATTTAGTACTTGCGAAAAAGATACACTGAAACCTCCGTTTACGAAGTCTTTTTTTACGCAGTATTCAATTTACGTCTCTCCTTTTACGAAGTTAATCCCAAATAACGAGGTAGTTTTTTTACGAAGCAAATTCCAAATAACGAGTTTTTTTTTGTGATTTTGAGAAACTGGGATATACTGTGAAATACCTCCCAATATGGGTATTTTTGGAATCGGAGTAACGTGTAGGGACTGGAAATCGATGTGTGACGCCATTTTGAAATCCAAGATGGCGGCTTCCGGTTACAGAAAAACTTAAACATTTGAAATTCAAGATGGCGGCTTCCGGTTACAGGAAAACATTGAAATTTTGTCAAATACCCCACAATATGGGTATTTTTGGAATCGGAGTGACAGGTGAGACCGAAATACAATGTCTGGCACCATTTTTAAATCTAAGATGGCAACTTCCGGTTTCATAAAAACATGGAAATTCTGCCAAATACCCCACAATATAGGTATTTTTTTTAAATCGAAGTGACGTTGAGGGACCGGAAATCAATGTCGGACACCATTTTGAAATCCCCCGGTTTCAAAAAACCCATATTGTGGGGTATTTGACAGTATTTCCCAGTGTTTCTGCAACCGGATGTCACCATCTTGGATTTCGAAATGGCGTCAGACATGGATTCTCGGTTCTCACAGGTCACCCCGATTCCAAAAATATCCATATTGTTGTGTATTTAACGATGTTTTTCTGTTTTCTTGTAACCGTAAGCCGCCATCTTGGATTTGAAAATGACGTCACACATCGATTTCCGGTCCCTGCACGTCACTCCGATTCCAGAAATACCCATATTGCGGGGTATTTGACAGAATTTCCATGTTTTCCTGTAACCGGAAGCCACCATCTTGGATTTCAAAATGGCGTCACACATCGATTTCCAGCTCCTACACGTCACCCTGATTTCAAAAATACCCATATTGTGGGGTATTTGACAATATTTTCAAAAGCCTCTTTTTACGAAGTAAATCCCAAATAACGAGGTTTTTTTACTCACTAATTCGATTTAAAAACCCCGTTTTGGTTCGTAAATGGAGGTTCCAGTGTTACTGGAATACTGGAATGATTCAGTACTTTCTGATGTGAATCCATAATGTTTCAGTACTTTTCAAAGTAATTCTTAGTTCTTTTGAAGTGATTCAGTAAACTTTGAAGTGATTAATAACTCTTCCAAAGTGATTCGTAAGTGACTCCATACATTTCTGAAGTGATTCCGATTTTTCTGAAGGGATTTCAAACTTTTCGGAATCAATTTAGAACATTCAGAAGTGACTCATTGCCCTCCTAAGTGACTCCAAACATTTACTTGATGATACGCAACTCTTTGAAGTGATTCCAAACTTTTCTGAATCAATCTAGTACATTCAGAAGTGATTTGCAACATTGAGTACTCTCTGAAGTGATTTAAATCTCTTCTAATGTGTTATAGTACTTTCCGAAATGATTGAAAATATTTCTGCGCAGATTATGTACTTCCCAACTTTTCCGAAGTAATTCAGTTCTTCTGAAGCGATTTAAAACTTTGTAAAAGTGATCAGTACTTTCCAAAGTGCTAGCGGAAGTGATTACAAACTTTCCGCAATGATTCATTTCTTTCCGAGCTGTTTTCGAATTTTTCTGAAAGGATTTCAAAGTTTTCTGAAGGTATTCAGTACTCTGTGAAGTGTCTCCAAACTTTTTGAAATTGATTCAGTTCTTTTCGAAGTGATTTAGTACATGCGGAAGAGATAACAAACTTTTCTGGAACGATGCAGTACTTTTCGAAGTGAATCCAGAATGGTTCTGTATTTTCCAAAGTAATTCAAAGCTCTTCCGAAGTCATTCAGATAATGTTTAAGTAATCCCTTAATTTTCCAAAGTAAATCAGTACTCTCCTAAGTGACTCCAAACATTTATTAAGTGATTTCGATCTTTTTGAAGTGATTCCAAACTTTTCTGAATCAATTTAGGGGGAGGGGTTCTTTCCCAGATTCTGTACTTCTCGAAGTGCAACCAAATTTAGTAATTCAGTACTTTCTAACTTAAAAAATGATTAAGTTCTTTTCGAATTGATTAAGTGCTTGCGATAGTGACAACAAATTTTTTTGGCATGATTCAGTACTTTTCGAAGTGAATCCAGAATGAATCCAGAATGTTTCAGTATTTTCCGAAGTGATTTAAAACATTTTAGAACAGATTATGTATTTTCCGAAGTGCGTCCAAACTTTTCGAAAGGGATTCAGTACTTTCTGAAGTGACTTTAATCTTTTGTTTTCCTTGATTTGTTTTCCATCGATCTTGTATTCCGTGCTGAGCACCAATGCTACCAGGGAGGCAGCTCCCACACCTGGACCCTACCTATCGACCCATCAACTCATGAACCGAGGACCAACGGCTTTACTTTCCTTGATCAGAGGTGTTATGCCTCAGAACATCCCGGCGGCGCCGTCTGGGATTGAATCACGCTTACCACTACACCACCGCTAGGCGCCGCTAGGTGAAACTTTAAACTTCTCATGCGTGATTAAGTGCTTTCAGAAAGAGTTCAGTACTTTCCAAAGTGATTCCGAACTTCTGTGAAGCGATTCAGTCCTTTTCGAAGTGATCGCAAACATTCCAGAAGTGATTCAGTATTTTCTGATTTGATTTCGAACATTTCTGAAGTGATTTAAATGAAACTTTTTCTTAAGTGACTCAGTACTTTCCGAACTGATTCCAAACTTTTCTAAAGCGACTAAGTACTCTTCGAAGTGATTAAAACCACTTCTGAAGTGAGTCACTGCTTTCCGATGAAATTCCGAGTAACTGTTTGTGTTCGGGAGTAGCCTCACCCTACTCTAACTATGCCACTGTCGTTTGTACAAAACTCTCCCAAACTCTCACCACGTAGAATCGAACCATCCCTCCTCTCGTACGGACACTACCACGGAACCGATAACAGATTGGATAATAATAGGTAGCGATTACGATCGGGATGAATGACGTCACTGTGGTGATCGTCTAGCAGTGTAGGGATCGATAATTATAATATATTTAGGAATAGCCAGTCGGCTTTGACTCTCAAAGAAGGATGGATAGAGTAGCGCCACAAGGATTTAATATGTAATGTGTGTTGTGTAATGAACCTTGTAAATATGTAAAGTGTTGTAAATAAATTGTATGTTAATAGTATTAACTTGACATGGAAATATATTTTTTTTTATTAATTACTTTATTTGTACAGGCTCAATTGAATACATGGAAATATATGTGATGTGTGATTGAATGGACGAATGTGCTGTGTTATAAAGAATGTGGATGGAAGGAACCTCAAAAAGAAACCAATCGAAGCGCCAACATCCGCTCTTATAAAGGCGCCCAAGAAGGTCCCACCCCAGAAACGGCAGTGCCTTTTATTAACCCCCCCCCCCTCCCCCCTAAATGGTGTTGGGAAGGGTCCGGTAACCCAACAGTTTGGGTGATACTAAGCTTTTCAAGGTGATGCAATATTCAAATGAGTGTTGCAATACTTTGCTATGTGAGTTCGTACTTATGACGAGTAGTGTACATACTCAACTATAAATACAGTGTTTGGAAAAGTTTGGGATAGTTAGAACTAGAAAATTTATGTTT